TTGAGGCACTAGCACCTACCTCACTGCCTAGCAATTAGTGATTTCTCTACAGAAGTGTGTTAGATGAGTGAATTAATAAGTTAATATGTGAGAGCCTATAGATTGTTGCTGAGTTTTAGAGGGAAGTTGTTTGTTCAATCCAGGTTCCTCACAATTCTTCTAATCTCTCATGAATGAAGGCAATATTGAATGCCTTTGGGGTTGAACCAAATTTCTAGGCCTAACCTACATTAGTGATCAAAAGAGGCTATAAAGACATAAATACTTATTACATCGATGCAAAAGCTCATGTATAAATGTCAAAAGCATTGGGGGAAATAGTGAGGGATGATATAAATGGTCAGGTCTAAAGCTCCATAAAATTACTTCTTTAAAAATATATCTTTCATTCATGAAAATGTTTACTATTGCCCACCCTGTGCCAAGATCTGGGCTGGGTGCCAAGGACACAGATGAGTAATGCCTGCTGTCATGGAACCAACAGTTTAGTGGAAGAACTGATACTATAGAAGACAAGTCCAAAAAATCTGCCCAGAGAGTCAGCCTTGGGTACTCAGCAATCTCCTGAAGATACTTGCCTTATGTTCAGACTCCAGTGAAGTCATCACCACCTAAACCCTTCCTTCTCCATTAAATAACCTTTCTACCAATTGCATTTCTACATATTAGAAATAAACTATTAAAATTTTGAATTTAAAGACACTGAAAATAGCATAAAAATTTAATTTCTGTTCTTTCAAGTATAGCCATTATGAAAAAGAAAATGGAGGTTACTCAAAAATTAAGGATAAATCTGACAAAAGCCATGTAAGACCCGTACATGGACAACTATAAGTCATCAGAGAGAAAGGCAGGTGTGGTGGCACATGCCTGTAATCCCAGCAGCTCTGGAGGCTAAGACAGGAAGATCACAAGTTTAAAGCCAGGCTTAGCTACTTAGTGGGTTCCTAAGGAACTCAGCAAGACACTGTCTCTAAATAAAATATAAAAAGAGCTTGGGGGAACTGGGGCTGTGGCTCAGTGGGAGAGCACTCTCCTAGCATATGTGAGGCCCTGAGTTCGATCCTCAGCACCACATGTAAATAAATAAAATAAAGGTATTGTGTCCACCTGCAACTAAAAAACAAATTTAAAAGGGGGGGGGGAGGCTGGGGGATGTGGCTCAGTGGTTAAGTGCCACTGGGTTTAATCCCTACCAAAAAAAAAAAAAATCAGTGAGAGGAATCAAAGGAAATCTGAATGAAAGGAAATACATGGTGTGTTCATGAATCAAAAGATTTGGTATTGATGGAAATTTCCTTTAGTTATATTTAGAGATTAAATATAACTCTAATCAAATCTGCATACCTTATTTGTAGAAATAATTAAGCTGATTCTTAAATTAAAGGGACTTTAGAATAAAAAAAATTTTTGAAGAACTGGAAAACTTATACTATACTATCTCGACTTACTATAAAGTTAGTAACCAAGGAAAGATGGTATTGGTATAAAGACAGACAAATTGAAAAATGGAACAGAACAGAATCCAGAAATAGACTAACACATATATTATTATTATGTGTTAATTAATTATTTACAACAAAAGTGAAGTATTTGATGGAAGAAGAATCTTTCCCATAAATGGTATGAAACAACTGTATATTAACATGCAAAATAAATGAAACTTGATTCTTAACTCTCATACCATATTTTAAAAAACCAACTACACAAAATGGACTATAGACGTAAATGTAAAATCTAAAACTTTGAAACTTCAAGAAGAAAATACAGGAGAAAATCTTTGTGATGTTAGGCAAGACAAAGATTTTTTTAAAAGATAGAATACAAAACAAACTATATCAACAAAACTAGAAAAAATAATAATTTCTGTACTTTCAAGTATAGCCATTATGAAAAAGAAAATGGAAATTACTCAAAAAATTAAAAGTAGGACTATTATACAATCCAGCAACCCCATTACTAAGAATATATCTGAAATCAGTATGCCGCAAATATACCCTGCACTCCTGTATTCACTGCAAATTATTCACAATAGCTAAAAGATAGAGTCATCCTTTGTCCATCAACGGATGAGGAGATAAGAAAAATGTGGTGTATATGCACAGTGGAATATCACTCCAGCTTTAAAAAGAAGTACACCTTATTATTTACAGCATGGTTGGATCTGAAGGACATAAGTGAAAAGAAGCCAGGCCAGAACAACATATATTGCATGATCTCTCATAGATGCATAATCTTGAAAAAGCAAACTTCCAGAGGCAGAGTAGAATGGTTCCTAGGAGATGAGGGGAAGGAGCAGGGTTGGAGAGGTATTGATCAAAGGATACAAAATTTTGTTTAGACAGGAGGAATAAGCTCAAGAGCTCTATTGTACAACACGGTAACTTTAGTTAGTTGTATTGTTATATTGTTGCAAATCAATAAAAGAGTAAATTTTAAGTGTTCTCACTCTAAAAATGATAAGTATGTGAGGTAATGCATAGGTTAGGTAGCTTAATTTAGCTATTCAACAATGTACACATATTTCAAATCATCCTGTTGTACATGACAAATACATATAATCTTTCCCTATTAATTCAAATTATCAAAAAGAATTTAAATCTGCTCTTCCAAAGATACTGTTAAGAAAATGAAAAGGCAGATTGGGAGAAAATACTACAAAGTTAAGAAGTAACCTGTAAACTAAGAAGAAAATACTTGAAGTACATACATACAGAGGCCTCATCTCTTTAATGTAGAAAGGGCCCTTTAAAACTATTAATAAAAAACACAATCCAACAGAAAAATGGGCAAGGACACGAAAAAAGATTCCCTCCAACAGAAATACAAAAGACAACAGTCATATGAAACTGAGATTAATCTCACAATTAAAGCAATGCAAACTAAAACAAAATGTCATCTAATAAAGAATATTTGGCACAGAAATGTTCATAATACAAAAAATGGAAAATACTGCAAAGTCCACCAAGAGCGGACAATTAAATACATAGGTACAGAAAACACAAATACTATGTACCCATTACAATTTAAATGCTGGTTTCACCCATGTTGATATCACATTAAAAGTAATCTATGGCATATAGATGTGTGGGGGAAAACATTTCAATCTGTATAACAAGAGCGTTAATCTGAAAGTATACATTTTCATCTATTTGTGAGTAAGTGTACAGAGATAAATGTTGGAAAGAAAACTCACCAAAATAGTAGCAGTGATTGTCCCTGGGAGAGAGTTCAGGTGTCTTTAACTTTATTTTTACATTGTAGCATCCTTTAAATAAACTACAATGAGCACATACTTCAATTGTTAAAGAAAGCTAAGTTACTTTTACTTAAAGAAAATCAGATGTTTCAATGCAAAATTTCAACAACAACAAAATTAAAAAGGGCATCAAGTTGTAGCCAGACAAATGGCCAAACAGGCCAAGGCCCTCTCCTTGAGGCTGCACCTTCCTCTGACCAGCACTGGACACATGGGAAGACAACTAAGTGTACACTATCAGATACACAGGCAAAGCTAGGTACAGAAGGACAGAGTTCACAGAGGGTTTGGAGGGTGAGGATGACTCAGTGAAAACATAGGTTCTACCACATTAACAGTGGTGATGTCAGGACAAATCACCTCAATATCCTTCTTTGTAGACCAGGGTAATAACTTGTCTCTACCTCTTGGGGTGTGAAGTTTAAATGAGACACACATGTGAGCTGGGCATGGTGATGTACACTGCATCTTGCGGCGAGGGGGGATGACAAGGGAGGCTAGGGGGGTGGGGGGTAGGGGGGCAAGGCAGGAGGATTGCAGCCTAGGCAACTTAGCAAGACCTGACTCAAAGTAAAATAAAAATTTTAGAAAGGGCTGGGGATGTAGCTCAGTGGTAGAGTGTTTCCTCAGTGTGTGCAAGACCCTGGTTTCAATCCCCAGTACCATGAAAATAAAAAGCTACATATGTGACACCTTCACTTAGGGCTTAGCCCATAACGTGCACTTAAGATCAGCTGTTTATATTATTATCTGGGACATTTGTGACAGTTGTTCACATTGCCACACTCTATTCGCCATGATCCAGGGTCATGGAACAGAGTGTAAAGAAGGAACTTCAAACCTCAGAGAATCCCAACATCAAGTTTTGGACAACAAAACCTATTGTTCTCTATCCCTACGGAACTGTCTTAGAAGCAGCAGGCAAAGAGGATGGCAGCCAGCTAGAGAGGGGAGGATGACGACAAAGCAAGGGCCTAAATAATTTCCTGTGCTACCCACTGTGCCATCCTCTCCTCCCAACTTCCCTCCCATGTTGCCTGGGACCTTTCCCCACACAACACTATGTCAGGATCCCAGAAAGACTGATCAATTGCTATATCCCTTTCTCTGCAAATAAGGGACCTGAGGGCCAGAGGCAAGAACCCTACCGAGAACCAAGCAGTCAGCAAGCCTCTCAACCAGAGGGTCCCCTCCTGTGCTCGTCCTTCCCTCTGCTGGCTGCTTCTTCACAAGTTCTCATTTCCCCTACTTCCTCCCCCTACTTCATTACCTGTTGGGATTCTTCAAGGCCCCTTCTCTTCTCTGGCAGCCCTAATGGTCCTTTATGTACCTCCCTGTGGTGAGAGAGGAACCGAACTGGGACTTTTCTGACTTGAAGAATAGTACACTATAAGAATGTTTACGGCTGTCACTAAGTGAAGACCAACAGAGCCATCCCTCTTCTAATAGGAAGGAAGCACAAACCATGGCATTAAATGAGAAGGTGGGGCAGGATGGAAGAGTTATAAGTTATTCTCACCCCCAATGACACTGGAGATTTCCTTGAAACTCCTAGGAAAGGAATACCCCAGAAGAGAGGGGTACTAGCAAAGGAACCAGCAGATTCTGTGTCCTAGGTCTTAAATGCAACCAAGATGTAGGTAGGGTAGGTAGGAGTGAGGAAGGATGTGGAGTGTRAATGGAAAAAGCATTTTTCTAGGATGTGGTCCTGACTCTGGGCAGTGGCCAGGCTGGGGCTTACCTTAGGCAGGCTTACTGGAGTCCTGGGCTTGGTTCTAGGGTTCTTAATCAAGAGTCTCTGATCCAGGGGGAGCAGATGGTATTTCATGGCCTCGATGAGGAAGTCCTTACAGGTGTTGTTATTCTTTATCAAAGCCTCTTCTTCAACTGTCTGGAGGTAACAACCCACAGGTAACACTGGAACAGAGCCTGGCCCCATTTCTCAAGCCCTGTCTCTGGGGTGGGTCATTCCTGGATTCTCTCATTCATTTCTGTATCATCTCATCTCACACCCAAAGAGAAAGATCCACAGAGTTACAATTTAGTGCTCACCTCCTGGATTTTAAGAGCACAGGATTAAGTGATCAAGCTCTGGCCTAAGACAGGGATGCAAATCCCAGCTGCACCACTCATCTCTGATCCTCAGTTTTCTCATCTGTAAAACCCGTGTATTAAAAGCACCTAAAACCCCATTAGTTTTGTTTGCTTTTACGTTGAGGTTTAGATGAATTTATGCAAAATAAAAAATAAGGAGTTGCCTGAAAATCTCTTCCCACATTCCTCTTGGTTTGAATGCTTTATAATGTATAGGGCAAATGGTCAGAGATCTGAGAGAAGAGGGAGAGAGGGAGGGAAAGAAGAAAGAAGACAGGATCCAAGGGCCAAACTTTGAAGGCACTGGTAAAATAAAATGGTCAAGATGGTCATCCATTTTCTTATAGCAAAAGTTTCAGGGAGAAAACTGGCCAGTGAGGCTCTAACTGAGTACTGACACTAGAGCAGAAAGACTGTTCTATACAAAATCCCATCTACTGACCTCATCTGATACCCCATCTACGCTGGGATCTTGCTTCTCTACCTGGTATTCAGACCTCAGGACCTAAGCAGGACTTCAGCAAATGCAATCCTACATGCTCCATGAGTAGGCAAGGGTGCATTCTGGTACTCTGGCTCTTAAATAGCATCTCTTCAGCCCAGCTCACATCACTATGTGACATATCTGGAATGAACAGCAGGGTCTTCTGAGGCCACTTGATGGTGGGAAACATCAATTCCATTCAACAGCTAACACTGATTGGATGTCTCCTGGTTGGGCAGTCCTGTGCTGGCCCCCAGGAAAAAAATGATGAATAAGACAAGGTTTCTGACCTGAGGATTGGACCTGATTCAAATCCAGTCACAGAATGAGAAAGGGCTCCCACTTCAATCATCTCAACCCTCCAAACAATCAGCACAAGGCCTGGCTGAGCCTCTCCTGGGACCCCATCTATTGCTAAAAATGAAAATAGGGCCAGGGTCATCATCCACTGGGCAATGCTGGAGCTGGCAGGAAAAAGAAGAATTGGCAAGTCAAAGCCTCTGCCACCTCTGGGCATCTTCTTCCTCAAGAAAACTCCCTACAGCCTTGAAAGATTTTTTTTTAACCTTCCCATTAGGGGCCTAACCCAGGATGGTACAAATCATAAATGTGGGGGGGGGGGTTAAAAAATAAAAGGGGTGGGAGAAAATCTCTAGAAAAGCTAGGGAGAAAGGAAAATTGCTCAAGCAGCTACTTTTCCCAAAGAATTCATTCAGCTTGAAATAAAAACTCCCCTCTAGAGAGTTCATAGGTACAGAGTTTCAATGTGGGATGATGAAAGTTTTGGAAATGGATATGGTGATGGTTGTGCAGCACTGTGAATATAATAAATGCCCTGTATCATATACTCAAAAACAGTCAAAATCACAAAGTTTGACAGGCATGGTAGAACACGCCTATAATCCCAGTGGCTCAGGAGGCTGAGGTAGGAAGATCAAGAATTCAAAGCCAGCCTCAGCAACTAAGCAAGGCCCTAAGCAACTCAGAAAGACCCTGTCTCTAAATAAAATATTTAAAGGGGCTAGGGAGGTGTCTCAGTGGTTAAGCACCTATGGGTTCAATCCCTGGTACCAAAAAAAAAAAAAAAAAAAAAATCACAAAGTTTATGTTAAATATGTGTATGTGTTTATTATCAAAACATGTTATAAATTTAGAATATCTAAAAATGCTTAGTAAAAGCCTAATTAACTTTAGCTATTGTGAGGCGCAGATGCCAGGCAGTGTTGGTTGCAAGAGTTTTCCCTCTCTCCTTTCCTCTTGCATCATGGTCAGCCATCCCCAGCAGGTCTGAAGTTTCAAGGGCAAATGAATGCTGAGGAAACATCCTTTCCCAAAAGTGTTCACCCTGTGAGGCCTAATAAAAGTCCTTTTAGAAAAGGAGTCCCACACAACAGTTCTCACACCCAGTGCCTTTGACCTCCTCCTTTTCCAGGTCCAGACCATATTTTGCCATAATAATCCAGGAACTATCTCCTAATATCTTTGTTAAGTTTCAGTCGTGGACACTTAATGGAGGTTTCTAAGTCCCCTTTACCTTTCACTGGAACCCAGGTCCCTGGCTGCCCACCCTGCTTTCAGTCAGTTTCCCACAGGACAGTGGGAAGACCTACTGTGACAATGAGAGGCAAGTTCAGTCCCTCTGCTTCCCTTTCCTACAGCAGGGTTACCATGCCACCAGGTGGCACTAGTATCCTCCAAGGTAGCATGCAGGGCCCTTACAGAGGCTTCAAGGGTGTCCCTCAGTGCTGCAAAGAAGGCTGAGGTGTACAGATTCAGAGGACATTGTACTGACGCCTTAGGCCTATGGCCAGCAGCGTCAGGAGCAGAGGACTTTACAAGTGCTCACAAGAACAGCATGGTACTTGTAGTCCCAAGGACAGCGGTAATATTAACTAGTATTCACTGATCACTGTGTGACAGGCTTTATGTGGACCATCTCATTTTGCTCCAAACTATCCTACCAGGGCAAGTGCTATTTTGACCAGATGAGAAAACTGAGGTTTCAAGGGGTTAAGTATGGCACAGGGTAACAGGAGCTGGCTGTCAGACTGCTAAGCCTCCTCATTTATTCTTGCATCATACCTTTCTTTCCTTCCAGAGACCCTCCAGGACAGCCTACTTCCTCCATGTTTAGTTTGGTTCACATATTTTAAGTTTTGACTCCCCACTTGTAAGAGTATCTAATGCCATTTACTGTTCAAAATGAGCCATGTAATGGGGAAATGGAATAAAGAGCAACAAAGGTGGCAGTTGGCAGAACCCTGTGCCTCAGGGTCTGGCTGCTGTGGATTTGAATCCTGGCTCTCCCCAGGTGGTTGGTGACCCCTGAGGGCAACCCAATCCACAGCCTCAAGGGCCAAAGTGGTAAATAGAGTGTTGTAATATTTGCCTCACAGGCTGATTACAAGGTTTAAGTAAGGAAATAGGTGGAACTATAGGGACATCCCATAATTTTAAAATTTCTTTCCTTTCTTGGAAGAAGTAGAGGTAGTCTGTGTTCTAGGCACCTGTGAAAAGCTGATTTTCACAGTCCTGAGTTGGGTTCCAACTTGTTTAGAGCAGAAGGGTAACATAGAAATATTATGAAAATGACTCTTCTGGCTTTGGGCATCTATAGGGAAAGCAGCTAATTTTATAGAACACTTGTTAAGCCAGGCTTCAGGCTTACATACTGACAACTTGTTTCTGGAAGGAGATATTGAGCTTGAATAAAAACTCAAAACTAGTAAGTAGTAGAGCATGGACTGAAACCTACACAGCTTATCCTCAAACCTATGCTTTTAAGCTCTACTTCAAACTTAACCCAGTTGGTTGGTGCCCCCCAACACACACAGAAGATCTATTGATCTCAATTATGCCATGCAACCAGAGTGGCCTCTGCTATCCCTTGAGGCTTCGGTAGACAGGCCAGCACGCACCTGCACTAGATAATCCCTGGGCAAGAGAGGGAGTCGGACGTGTTCCATCAGTTTTGCCATATGCTCTAAACGGGTCTCTTTCTCATAATTGATCCAGGAAATCACAGCTTCAAACACCTATAAAGAAAAGAAGGAACACTTTCAAATAACTTGCTCAATAAATAACTTGCTCAATCTATAAAAAGAAAAAAGTTAGAATTCATCTGCAAAAGTGTTTAACATAAGATTCAACATTTAAAATAAAACAAAAGCTTTTTTATTAAATGTTCTCAAGAGTGAATACGCACATATATGCCTGCAATAAACCTGCTCTCCCCAATGTAGAATCATCGTGGTTCATTCTAAAATAAAAATCAGTTCCAATAGTTATTTAAGGGTAGAAATACAGAGCAATAACTGTGAACCAAATGTTTAAAGGTGGCTGCAAAGAACCAGATGTCCTGGGGGCAATGCCACACTCCTCCAGCATTGCTCTCCTCTCTAATCTCCCCTGCACATTCAGTGCAAAATGAAAATTGTAAGAGGGCCTTCTGCCTGCAGCTGGCTGTGATGATGACTGTGACACCGAATACAGAGAAGGGCAGACATTTCTCCTTGGATTTAACTTCTCTCTTGAGGAGAGATTTCATTTCTATGTAAATCAAAACTGGAGGGCTTGGAACCAAAAAGAGGATAGTTGTTTTGGATGTTTATTTTGCTCAAAGCTAAGTCTAAATTCAAACTCTGCACCACCATGCACAGAAAAGAAAAAAAAAAAAACAGTGTTGGTGAGGCTGTGGGGAAACCAGTAATGTCAGTGGAAATTTACTAGATAAATATGGCTTTTTAAGACAAGAGGGAAGAATTTGGCAATATCAATCAAAAGTGTAAATGTGCATATTGTGACCTAGAAATGCCACTTCTAGAGCCCCAGACTACAAAAACACTCATAGAAGAGCACAAGAACAACACGTGTCCAAGATGTTTGCTGCAGCACTTTCATAAAAGGACAAAAAAGGAACAACCTAAAGTCCACTAACAAAGAAGTTATTAAAATATCATCTCTATTATTGGTTTTAGCTTTCAAAAAGAATAAAACAAGACGCCTTCTTGTACATGAAAACAAGAAAGTGCTCTCAGAAACTGTGGTATACACACTGGAATATTTCTCAGCATTAGAAGAAAATAAAATTATGACATTTGCAGGTATATGGATGGAGTTGGAGAATATCATGCTAAACCAATGCCCAAAAAACAAAGGCCAAATGTTCTCTCTAATAATGGTGGAAAGTGGGCGGAGGGGGGGGGAAACACATGTTGGGAGAATAAAGGAACTCTGGGAAGAGGGGGGGGTATGGGAGAAGGAAAGATGGTGGAATGAGATGAACATTACCCTAAGTACATGAATGACCCCACATATGATACGACTCTACATTGTGTATAATCAGAGAAATGAAAAGTTGTGCTCCCTTTGTGTACAATGAATCAAAAAATGCATCTGTCTTGTATAACTAATTAGAACAAATTTAAAAAGGGGAAAAAAGTGCTCTCAGATTAAAGAGGACATGCCAAAAGGACACAGAAATAACTCGATGGGACCTTCACTGCCAACACTTGGAACAACTCAAACATCAAAGAGAATAATGAAAAAATGAGATCAGGGCTGCTCTGGTGGGGTGAGATTTCAGGAAATGACTAGGGAAGAGGCCAAAGATTTTTGGAGGTAATGGATATGTATCTTTATAGGGTAGACACAATATGTCATACACATTTGTCAAAACTAAGCAGATTGTACCTTAATATCTGTACATTTCACTGTGTGCAAACCATACCTCAACAGAATCTTAGTTTTAAAAATATAGTAATGGATTACAATACAATAAATTTTCTAAAGAAACCATTAATTCCTAGGATAATTTGAAAAGTATCAGAAGGGCTCTTCTTTAGAAAAGTGGTAAATGAGAAGGAATGACAAAATTAGAAAAACAGTATTTTGCAAAAACCACCAATGTGATAACTGATTCAGCAAGGATCACCAATGAAAGCTAGAATCAAAAGTTTTTGTGAAACAAGAAATTCACAAACTATCATCCCAAAGATTTATTTACACAGCGGGGGAAAGATACCCTCAAACAGGAGAACAGATGAATATCACCTTAAACAAGGGATCAAACTTACCACCAATAATAGGACAAACTTATATTCCTGATTGTGATTTAATGGAGAGGACACAGCACCCCCAATGTGTATTTTTACGATAATGTTTAACCTGAATGTTATAGTACAGAGACAATCAGACAAATCAGTTTGGAGCCTCTACAAGATGGTTGGGCTGAATTCCTCAAAATGTAATATAATGAAAAACGAAAAAGAATCAGAGGGATGGTTATAGATTAATGAGATTTTGAGACATGATAACTAACTACCATACACAAACCTTTGGATTATGGATTAAAAATAGGGGGACCATTAGGAAAATCTGAATACTGATTATTTGGTAGACAACACTTATGTTATCAATGTTAAATTTCTTTGGCATAAGAACGATTTTATGGTTAGAAAAAAATGTCTGGGAGGTACATACTAAAATATTTAGGAGTTAAGTATCATGTATCTACAATTTACTGCTAAATGGTTCATCAAAATGAGACATCAAGTCTGTAGAGAGAAAAATAAAGTAAAATATTAACTAGTGAATCTCAGTAAAAAGTATGTAAAGTTCTTTCAAACTTTACAATATGTTCGATGTTTTCAAAATAAAAAGTGAAGAAAAAAAGATAAATTATAAGGGAAAATGATAGATGGGGCAATAAAATTTACAACCTGACATAAAGTTGAAATAAAAGCTTATCTACTAAGAGAAAAAAAATTCCAATTTTTCTTATTTTTTCTTTATGTTTGCTACATTAATAATGCTTTGTACCTAAAATTCTTAGTTCTATTTCCTAGATACATCTTAAGTCTGAACAGGCATAACTTTATTTTATTTTATTTTGAGAGAGAGAATTTTTTAATATTTATTTTTTAGTTTTTGGCGAACACAACATCTTTGTTTGTATGTGGTGCTGAGGATTGAACCCAGGCCGCATGCATGCCAGGCGAGCATGCTACCACTTGAGCCACATCCTCAGCCCAGGCATAACTTTAATTGGGCAAGGAATCATAAAGTTGTCAGAAAGGTAAAGAAGGGAACAGAGACAAATGGTAAGGAGAGGTTGATCAGTGGATATGAAGTTAGATTGGAGTAAGAAACTCGAAGCACTGTACAGTAGGGTGACTATCAATAATGGACTATACATTTCAAAAAGCTAGAGAACAGGGCTGGGAATGTGACTCAAGCGGTATCGCACTCATCTGTCATGTGTGAGGCACTGGGTTCGATCCTCAGCACCACATAAAAATAAATAAGTGAAATAAAGGTATTGTGTTCAACTACAACTAAAAAATAGATTATTTTTTAAAAAAAGCTAGAGAACAGGATTTTGAATCATAAAGAATCATAAAATTTTGAATCATAACAAAAAGATACTTTGAGGAGACAGGAAGTTTACCCTGACTTAAACATTATACAATGTATACATGTTTCAAAACATCACATGGCATGCCATAAATATTTTTTTTGTTGTTTTTATGGAACACAGCAAAAGGAAAGGAGCAATGTGTGTGCATATGTGTATGTGTGTCTATGTAGTTGGCTCACATTTCTGAATAAAATAACCTATATCTTGATATAAGCCTATAAACACCATGGAAATCCTCCTTGCCTAGAACATTTCAGAAATACAAACTTTCCTACAATTATGGTCCTTACTCTCATAGCATTGTTTTGTCAATGTGTTTTCCCCACCAGCCCTTTATTAAAAGATCCATGAGAACAGGGACCTTGTCCTATTTGCTGGCACATAATATATATTCAAATACTATTTTAATGAATGAATGGACACATAAATTCTTAATAAGTCAGTAGGGAGTAGGGTGGGACCTGCCCAGGCTACAGCAGAGAGCATAACTGGGAACACGGGGCTGGAACCTTGGCGAGGAGGGCAGAGCTGGAGGCTGATGGAGAAGCTGGCCTTGCTGAAGGAGGAGATGGGCAGCCACATTAATATTCTGCCTTGCATGTGGTTATCCACACTTCTTCCTACTCCCCTCCACCAGACCAAGAGCTTTTGCAGGAGGAGAAGGGTATTTGCTCTGTCTCTGGGCCTCCTTCCCACACACTGCCAAGTAAAGCTCCAAGTGGCTGGCCAACAAAGCTTTGCTGAACAATGAAGTACAAGTCCTTGAGTAGTAGGGTTGATTTATTGATCACATTCTTCTCCCATCGACCAGCTTAATCATTGCTATAAAAGCTAAAAAGCAAGCTGAGTCTACCAAAGTCGATATTTAACCTTATCTCCATTTTTGGCTTGACTAGTCTAACAGGTTCCGCTTAGTTGCACTGTTTACCTACTCAGCCATGAAAAGCCACAGTGGTCAGCAATAGCAGTGACCTTCTAGCAGCTAGAGAAGGCCTCATATGTATATATATTTTTTTCATTTAGATGTCATGTTTGAAAAAGAAACAAGCAAATAAACATTTAAATAGCTTGCCTTCAAAGTATCCAATGTCATTCCCAATAGCCCTTCCCAAAAAGGACTCTTTGGAGACATTATCTTCCTGAATTCTCATGATAATCCAATGATTAGTTTCTCTTACCCTTTATAAAGTGATTTGCCCAAGTCCCAGAGCTAGAAAAGAGGCAGAACAAACCTAGCTCTAATGCTCATACTCTTAGCTGCCTCTCAAATGTCTACTAGCAGGGGTTGACTTATTACAGCCCAGGAGCCAAATCCTGCACCTGCTTTGGTAAATAAAATTATACTGGAACATGGCCATACTCATGTGTTTACAGACCATCTGGGCTGCTTTCTTGCTACAACAGCAGAGCCGAGAATCTATTAACCAACAAAACTAAAATATTCACTATCTGGACCTTTGCTGGAAAATTTTGTTAACTCCTGCTCTAAAATCTAAGCAGGGCAGGATGATGTTCTCTCAAATGATAATACCTTTCATGGATCCCATGAGAAAATAATCAGCTACCCACAAGACAGGCTTGGGGTTTCACTTTCAAACAAAGAAATAATTTCATTTCCTTACTCACAATTTCTTGTGTGATACAAGGCTGTAAAAGAGTTATAGAAAAAGACTTTACAGTTCCCAGTCACCATACTTCTGCTATAAGCACAAGACTTGGCCAGAGGACACCAGATTAACTGGATCCTTCCACCCCACCTTCTGGTTAGTCAAGCAGCCAAGGCAGGTTGGACCTGATATGTGGATGCTAATTCACAATAGGGGTGGGGGGGTGGGCATGTGCCAGGGGAAAACAAGAGTTATTTTAGGTAGATGGGAATGAAGGGAAGGGAAGGGATATGAGGATAGGAAGGATAGTAGAAATGAAGCAGACATTATTACCTTATGTACATATATGACTGCATAACCGATATGATTCTACAACACATATGATCAGAAAAAATGAGAAATTATACCCCATTTATATATAAAATATCAAAGTGCACAATACTACTGTCACGTATAACTAATTAAAATAAATTTTAAAAAGAAAAAATGAGGGATTCTAGCTTTCAAAATGTTTTTTAAAAATCAAGAAGGGGAACTCAAAAAGGCAGGGTGATTGATGATTTGGCAATGTGAGGGGTCAAGTTAAGGGTGACTGTTATCAAAATGGGGGAGAMGCTAACTTTGACAAATGAGATGGGGGGACTAGGTCCTGCAGGACCTTATTTGTTAGTCAGGATTGAAGGAGGACTAATCTTATCAATAACACATACAATGCTAGACGTTTTTACATGCATGATCTCATTTAATCCACAAAAATAATTCTATGAAGGTGTTACTATTCACATTTTACAGATGAGGAAATAGCCTCAGAGAGATAGCTAGTTGTTCAAGGTCACACCATCAGGAAGTAGTGGATCTGGGCTGTGAATTCAGTTCTAACCCCAAAAACCAAGGTTCAAATGTTATGCAATAGTGCCTCTAAGAGGCAGAATTCGTTGAACATCCGGGGCAGACTACTGAATTGGGAAACCAAGTTCTTAATTCTATAATACCAATGAAGCCCTCCACACCCTCCTGGGACATCAACTCTGAGGATCCTGCTCCTTTCCCAGGGATTGAGGCAATAACACTGGCCCAATCTGCTGCATGTTTTTAAATCAAGACGATGGCACTTGCAGACACAAGAATGATTTTGAGAGCCTCCTGGTTTTGTTTCTTAAAGGAAAGCTTAAAAGAGCTACAGTAGCCATATTCCCACCTCACAGTCACATACAACACAGGGACAAYRGTGGGMAGTTGRAGCTCATTGTGCATGTSTCTTCCCAACTGAGKGTTTATTGAYATTACACTGGTGGTTTGAAATCAGCCTTGGTGAATATATTTACACTGTGGCARTCAGCAAGTGAATCATCAAATGAATCAGGGCTTTTAGATTTTACTCTGTTCTTTGTTTATTTACTTGTTTTTTGGAAAGCCAATTGTTAAAGTACTAGCTGGGAGATGTCCTGGTCTGAAGGCTCCCCYGCCCCCTTGAAACCTACCCAATTKCATGTATCTATCTGRCAACACCATTATCTCAAGGTTTTGTATAACACCTAAGAGCTCTTTCTTGTAGTTGCTTCATCTCATATTCACAAGTGCCATGCAGAAGAGCTAGGTTGTTCACTTACAAAAGGACAAAATGAGGCAGAAAGTGACCAACTACTTTCCCAAATATTTCCCAGCTAACTGTGAGAGGGCACCTATAAACACCTTGCAATATTGTGGTTTAATGGGACACAGCTGACATGAATCTAAAGAAGAAGGTTCCCTCTTTACTGACCCCCTACTCCATAATCAACCTCATCTCCCACAATCCCCTCTTCAAATATCCTCAATTCTCATTACCCAGGGTACTCCCTCTCCCAAGTACAATAAGCATTCCTGACTTCTATGTCTTTATTCCTACTATCCCTCCAAGATGAATGGCTTTCCAAAATCCTAACTTCACATTCCAAGTTTGAGCTCAGATATTTCCTTTTCCATGATGCCTTTCATACCCAACAACTGGGAGTAAAATAGTCCAAGGTGTTTTCTTTGATCTTTGATTATAAGCAATAACTTCTTTCAGTCACATAGTATAGATACATATTTCCAGTATGTTTCCCACCCAAAGAGGAGCTACAGAAGAGTAAGCACTAGGTGTCATTCATCCCTGTATCCTCCTATCAGGGTGCTGCATTGAAGAAGGGCAGGGTCTTAAAACGGAGACACAGCTTCAAATCACAGAGCTATCTGATGCTAATAAATTATGTCCCTCACTGAACTTTAGTTTCTTTCCTCCTCTGCAAAACAGAGACAATAACCTCTGCCTTGCAAGTCACTGTGGAGATTAAAAGAGATRTGCTGAACAGTATGCTGGACAAAAGAAATCAAATACAAAAGTATTTGTATTCCATTATTACAATTATATAAAGTTCCAGAACTGGTAAAATTCACCTATGGTAGAAGAAGTAATTACCCTTCCTGGGCCTGGTGAACTGAGAGGAAAGGAGCCCTGGATCTGCTTCTTGATGTGGGTGCTAGTTATGTGGACATTTTACTTTGTAAAGTGCTGAGCT